AGGGCGTCTGTTTTTAAATGAGCTGAAACTTTAAATACTGCATAATATATAACAAAAAATGGATCGTTCATTTAACGCCGGAGAATAAGTCAGAGGAAAACTATTAAAGTTCATTACACTCTTAATGTCAACAGAGTATTAAGTATGACTGAAGCGCACGTCACACATCATAAACAAAAGCAAAACAAAAGATCAATTTTGTTTTGAACGAACAAAAGGATCTCGCTATGATGGGGACATGCGCAAGAGCAACAATGGCGACAATATCATGGAGTCTCGTGTAGCTATAAACCTACTCAAACAAAGTGTAGCTTGAACCCAGCCTTGATACTCGAGATGCGTCTGTCATGTATACGTGATGGTAGCACGGGTTTGGCTTTGGGTTTTTTTCCAATGCGTAAGAACACGCGTCACTTGTGGCAGGATGATTTGTTGCCGTGAGCATCTGACAGTTCCTGGCTGAGAAGAACATCAATGTGCTGGAGCAACTTCTTTTCTCACATGCCCCGGCTTTGTCTGATTTTTTTTTTTTTTGTGTTAGTATCCAGGGGATTGCTAAGAAGGGGAAAAACTTGCTTGGATTTGAAATATCTTTTGTGACACCAGTCCCGAAACTTTTCTGACACATCTCATAGTATACCGCTACCAAATTGCACACTGACTGGTCACATCATGCACAGGCCAGTGAGAGCCATCACATGACCTTCATCAAAAATTCAACAGATAAATGGAACTTATGACTGAGCCTTCCAATTTAAAAATATAAATTAAAAAATATATATATATATATATCACAGTGGTGTAAAAGTGAACTGTAGCGCACTGATAGGTGGGTGTTTTTTTTCCATTTTGTGAGCCTCATGGAGCCCAAAGAGGTGAGCAAAATATTAGAAACTGCTCTCAGGATATGATGCGTTGCCACTCTACCTCGACACCTACATACGACATCCAAAACAATAAAACAATGTTTGTTCCCAATTCTTGAATACTACCTACTGTGTGCCTAATGTTATGACTGCTGAATAAATAGCTTCAATAGATACGTTTATCGTGTATTATGTATTGCATGCCGAAAAGAGGAAGATAAAAAAACAAAACAAAGAATTACACCCACCCCTTTGTCAACTGTTAAATTAAGATATACACCACAATTGATTTCTGCTGGAGTCCTGCCCAACAAAATGGAAAACTACCAAGACAGTAATCAAAAGCAATCATGACTGACTGAACCAAATTGCAATGTTTTGCTCTCTCGCAGTCTCCGTCTGTCTGTCTGTCTGTCTGTCTGTCTGTCTGGTGGAGATGTTTGTAGGTTGAAACGTAATGAGTTTTGCGTTTCAGTCGTCTTCAAATTGGGAAAGTGCCATTACGCCCAACGTTGTGACAACGTGCGATGACACCTCTGTATTCACACCTAATTCCAACGTGACGCGATCGCAACCCCTGCTGTTCATGGAGCAAGCGTGGAGGAGACGGTGCCGTCGGTCCATACGAAAACTGCATAATGATAACCGTGCAAGTGTTAGCTGCAGGGGTTATTCGCACAATAATTGTTTCCGCCAAACCATACATCTATATGACAAGAGGAGCGAAGGTGGGAGGGGGGAATAGTCCAACTTTCCCTGTTAAATAATTCATTTAGGAAGCTGCAACTATTTCAAGTGGGTGACCAAGATGATTTTTCTAAGACGACATAACGTATCTAATTAGACTTTGCAATTAAATTGTTAAACACATCGCCGCAGCACACAATTTCAACACTTGCTTCGCTTTACTTACCCAAATCCTAAACAGTACGAGTACTTAAAGATTTCACCTTGACAAAATGTATTACCGGCATCTGCACGCAATTAAACTTGGCATGGAAGCTTTAATTCTTCGTTCATTAGCACTCGAGTCGAGCGTGTTGGCTAATTCGGTCGCTTCATAACAGCGTTAGACTTGCGCGGCTATTGCAAGGCATCCATCTTGTGGCAAATGTAGACAAATATGCTTCATTTGTGGCGCTGCGCTGATGGGGAGTGAGTCTGAGCTGTGCCCCCCCACCCCCACCCACCACTGCCGTATTTCAGAGCGTCTCAAAAGGTGAAGCCATGTAAACAAATACAGCTCACTCGCATGCGCCCCGCAGTTTGGATTTCAACGACCCAAATCGTCCTGGAAAGAGCTCACAAAGCCGCAGTCAGCAGCAAACACTACACGACTGCGTCTGGCCATGCGGCCGTATCAATGCGGCTAAGGGGTCAAAGGGTCAATGAGTAATTAAGACATGCTTGCCTGAGCATTCCCCATGCACACTTTGAGTCCTGATGAAAGGTTGCAAATGAAAGGAGGGGGGATTTCAGTGTAGCCTGACACCACGGATCACATTTCAGTAAATGTTCCTCGTTCAAGGCAATTAGAATGATTAAGATAGTGTGGTGTCATCGCACTGTTGAGGGGGATTTTTACACATGAATGATGCATGAGGTTTTGACATTTGATGAGCACAGCGAAAGCCGGGTCGCCCACGACAAGCGAAGTTGGGGGAAAGAGATGCAACAGTTGTTGTACAGTAGAAACCCTCAGGGTGAACCAAATCCATTTCGGGAAACGCTCGGAAATGAGAAACATTTATTTTCTGTGACCACCAACCAAAACTATTTTGACAAAACGGGTTTTAAATATACAGTAATACCCCCTCCATCATGGGGTATGGGTTTGCAGTTTTTTTAATGAAATAAAGTGAAAACAGGCAGTATCTTAGTCTGCTGGAGATTAGTGAATGTGAAATCCACTTTAATCCTGCTTTTTATGCCTACAGAAAGTGACAGCTCATTTTATAATGTACATCTCTGGTTATTTGTATTTCATTTGTTGATGAATACTGTCAGATGGTTAGTTTTTGGGCGGCGGGGAAGGATTTGTTTACCGTAGACATAAAGGGATCGATACACTTTATAATAAAACACTGTATAATAGTTTTGTCGTATCCATTGCTCTTTCTCACAATTAACGGTTTGGTCTGTTTTTAAATGTGATTGTACTATTTTAAAAGTGTATTTAAAGACCTTAAATAAAATACATTTCGTAATGCTATAAAAACACAACGAGAAAGTATTTAATCATGTTATTTCTAAATTGTGGGTTTCACTTATTGCAAGGCTGGTCAAGAATGTAACATTTGTTTTCAGAATGAAATGACTAATGTACAAATACGGGTTATGTCGTCTTTGTATGAATGGAAGTCCTTCAAAAACTGAAAACTCCCTCTTCTCCAGATGAGTACAATAAAATAAATAAATATCCAACTCCTCTTCGTATTTCAATCAGCGACCCAGTTAAGTGGTCTCAGACAAGCAAGTAGTACACTCAAATAGGCATGTCAGGTATTTTCTAGCCTTCCAGTGTAAAGAAAGGGTCAAAAGGGGACATTGATTAACATGGATGACAAGAAATGGTACCTTTTTCCACATTGCAGATGAAAATGAAGAGGCTAAAGACAGAAAATTGAGGTCGCTGATGAATCCTATTAGGAGGAGATGCAGAGGGGTGAGGAAATCAATATGGTAGTTTGTCACGCTGCCTCTCCCGGGGAGCAGAACTGTGCAGCAGAAGGTAAGCGGCTGCCCCGTCAGCAAAGCACATTACCAGAAATCAAAGGCTGAGGAGGGCCTGAAGGAAGACATGCATGTGTCTGCGGACAAAAGCCGCACTTTGGTGATTAAAACCTATTTTATCAGACCTGTCTTGACACAGTAACACTATTGACTAGCTGCTGCATGGGGGCTGATCACTAATTCACGTTGAAATAAATGAACAGGGATTATTCCGATTTTTTTATTGGCCACGCCAAATTGGAGTACGTGGCTACGACTGTGTGTTGTTAAAGATGCCACATGCATAAAGCTACAAAAAGCAAAAAGCTACCATAAGAGAGTAGCTATTTTGGAGGAGACTTTTCATTAATTTTTAATGTTAACAGTGCTCTCTAAATAAACACTGTTAGTGTTGTGTGTCAGTGTAATAACATGCACAACTGACTATTCTATTACAATTTCAAATCTTTAATAATTCAACAGAAAATGATCACTTGAGACACAGACTGACACACCTGTCAGTTTAACCACTGGCGCCTCTCCTTAGTAAATGTAAATAACACACACATTATTGTCTTGCATTGGAATATTGTTTGTTTTCGGGGCTCAATATTGAGCACCTTCTTCTTCTTTGTAGGCAAAATAGACTCTGACAGGACCGACGCTCGTCTGGACCGTTTCTGCAGCACCCACAACCATCCAGCAACCGATTCCATACGCCAAACAGGGAATACCTGCAAGACACAATGCTTACTGCTGTATTGTTTGATGGAGTGTTTATTGATCAGATAATATCACATAATGTATATTACTGACCTAGATTGATAACTTTGAGCATGGTGAAAAACCTGTCCTCGAAGTCCAGGTTCTGAGGAGGTGCTTTGGTGCAGTGATATTTTATGAAAGGGAAGCAGCCTGTTCTCAGTATGTGGTAGTTGGATCCCCGAACGCTCCAGTTAAAGTTCGACAGTCCAAACTGGTCATTGTGGACGGCAGAGTAGCGGACACAGTAAGACGTCCACGGCGGAAGGTTCCGCTGCTCGAGGTGGCAGGTGAGCACCTCCGAGGCGGTGGGACGAGGCACTGATTTGCCAAAAGTGCTCGGAAACAGCGTGACTTTAACAAAGACGCGGTGTACTTTTTTCAAAAACTCCCTCATAACTTGAACTCATGTGATATGTTCAATATTACCATAGCTTTTGGAGATTCAAAATGAAGTACAGTATTCGCGTTTTAACGAGCTACTGCATATTTAAACACAGGCTAGAAGACTGGGTCGGCTAAAGTTAGCAGACACGATCCTCCTATTGGAGGACACACGCTACTTAAAACAGAGTTACATGCACAAAGAGAAAGGTTTTAATATACATGTACTGTGTAAATAATACGTTTGTCCATCAAGGACAACAAACATGGGAACGAGCTGACCTGAGTTGCACTTGCTGCTACATACCGGTGAACGGGTCCTCATATTACAGTCGTCCGGGTGGAAGCAAACGTGACGGAACTATAGTCCCCCCCACTACAAATAAATAGATGCGGCATATTTATTGTTCATCTTAAAAAAAATAGAATAATATACGCATTACATGGCGTGAGAAGTTTTGTTGTTATTTGTAAAAATACATTCCAGCCATCCCAAAGTCACCTATTGGCGGCCGCAGGACTTGTGGTGCCAAAACTGGGACGTAAGGCACCAGATCTGGGATGGGTACGCATGAGGAAACAAAACTATGAAACAAAACCAATGTAATCTACACAAAAACGGAACCATGACACTAGCATCTTTTAAAAGACAAATAAAACAGGCTTGACTCACAATTAACTCTCACTCATACATTTGTGACAATTTGAATTTTGGAAAAGTAATTCTCACTGCTTGCTTCCCAGAATGTGCAACTTTAATAATGTAGAGGGATCATTAAGTCATTAGCAAGCTACCTTAAAGTTTTTCCCCCCTGCATTTTAGAGGATGATATTCATGATGAATGACAGATGACAGATTGCGGGTAAAGGTCATAAGGGCTCCCTGGAGAATCACTGAGACAGTTCTAATAATGATGAGCCAGTTCTAATAATGACGGCCAAAACAAAAAACGTTTACTAATGAACCCCACGTTGCTCAGGAAGAAACACTCACCATCTTCATTTGAGGATTGTGGTTGAATTAAAGTTGAAGTGAACTTAATTCCCGGTGATGAAGGGGGATGAGCACAGTTGACTGAACAAGAAAGAAAGAAAAAAAAATTGGTCAAACAACCATAAAGAATATGCGACGAGTACTAATCCACAAAAATATATTTCTCCATCTGATACTTTATGACTTGTTTTTGATGAAATGTACTTTAATAGATAATGGACAAATAACTGTTTCATGTTCATCTGTAGCCAAGCTATCAAAAATAATGTAATAATTTCACATACCGGTTGGCTTGTTTACGTTTGTAAAATGTGGTCAATCTGGTGCTGTCATCCTTGCACATTAGGAACAAATAATGGCACATTTCAACATCCCCCTCAAAAAAAAACCTCACATACCCCTAAATTGCTGTAAAAGGGCCACTCTAAAAAGGAGACAAAGAACGTTATTCCAGAGAAATCTGCCAAAGACACAGCCCCATTCTGTGTGAGGTTCAGGTGTGTCACATGCGTTGCATGGTGTGTTAAGTGGTGAGACGCTAACATGGTTGGTGGTTGTAGCCCACGGATCTGTCCTTAGGGTCACCGCTGAGTTTGAAGAGCGTGTATTATTAGAGAACATGATGAGTGGAGGGGCGCATGTGGTAAATTGTTGGGCCTTCTTAATTAACTGCTGGGAGGAGCAATTAATGTTCAGAAGATGTGCCAAATTTAAGATGACTTTCATTGTACGACGGCAATCGAACAAACTATGAGCGGTCCAGCAAGGTTTTGCATTCAGGATGTGATCACACAATGCACTGCGCCTCAATGGCGTGGTGTACAAGTAACAACTGATAAGGTGATTACTTAAAACTGTTCAGGCTCAAGAGGATAAAAGTGTTCCAGGTACTCAAGCACCTTTAGGGGACAAAACGCGTTGACCAAAGCCTGTGTGAGCACATGTGATGGGAGCTAATAACTCTGCTCTTGTCAACCACATGCGCCTCACACAACAATAAAAGTGTCCAACGGGGACTTAATTGTGTTTGTAATATGCGGGCCCCTAATGATGGCTACCGCTAAAACCATTAACCACGGTGGTGACTCAACTGCTGGGCTGAGGCACCAGGCCACCAACTGAATGAATGTTTGATAAAATAATACAAGTTGCGGATTAACAAGCGTAAACTCGGGCATCGTGCTAATAAAAGACATCTATTGTTTAAAGGCGCCAGGTTGATGAGGTGTTCAGGCATGCATAAGCGTGCATAATGAAACTGGTATGAATTATTAATGTGTTGATTATTTAGACTCATCTATCAAAATGATAATGAAGGCTGCACCTAAACACCAATTGAGCTCTTTGCGTAATTACAGTATTTAGTTGTATTTAACCAAAATGAAGAGCAAAGCAATGATCTATCTTTGTGATTACGCTGGTACTTATTAGTTTGTTATTCTCCAAAGTCTCAGCCTGCTTGTTCGCTATTTTTTGCAAATATACTTTTTGGGTGTTGATTTTTTTTTCCTATTGCCCTTAAAGTTGCAGAAACATCCAAATTTCATCATGCATGACATCACGTGTCACTTCAGTTCTGTGATCATCAAAAGAATGAACCGTGGGTGTGTTTGTCAGTTTAGGTATGTATTTTTTTGAATAGCTTTTATGCCACACATGTCAAGTGAAGTAATGTTGTTCTGATATTTTTCAGCGGTTTTCTTCTTTTTAATACACTTGTGTGACAATTCCGAATGTTAGTTGTGTTAGGAGTGGTACGATAGCAGCGGTGTTAAACTAAAACTTTACTTCTGTGTGAGCTCCTCGCAATGATCATCAGGGCCAACTGGGTCAGAGCCAGCTGATCAATATACACACGTAAATAAAATGTTCTGTAAGACAATATTGACTTGAATAACTTGAAACTGACAAGACTTTGCCAAAATGACTATTAACATGCCACACGTTTCTGGGAGAAGGTTCTTGGGACTGATGTGTTATAATCTGGAGTCACATCAGCTTGATGTTTACAAAAACAAAACTGAAACATAAAGAGAAAAGAAAAAACACACGGTACGTACTGTGAGCAATGGAGGGGGCTTGGTTCTGCTTTGGGGCTGCTTTGCTCTGTCCAGCACTAGGTATCTTTAATTTATGCACCTTGTGATAAAAGAAAGATGAAAAAGACAAAAATGAATACAGACTATCAAATACTCAACACGTTTCAATCAAGTCTCCACAATTGAACATTTCTTGAAAAGTTTCACGTCACCAATGCCATCCAAGTTGAGCAGGAGAAGGCTTGACACATATGGGCTTTTTTTCGGCTGTGGAACCTCCGGTAGATTCTCGACTGCGTATGTAGACACACTTTGCCCTGAGCCAGTTTGTTAGGCTCAAGTGTGACGTGAGGTTCTCCGAGTACGTATGCAAGTAAGGTTAATGGCATCATTAGAAGTATATTAAGGGGCCAGGTTTGGTCGTCGTCTCCGACTTCAATAGGGCTAATTTTGTCAGTATTATCCTAATAGCTATGCCCTCTTTCTAAACGTGGCAAATAAATCACCAGTGAAGGAGTTGTTAATAACTAAATGGCAGTCAACTGCCTCCTTTCGCTGTTCCTATTTGTCAACGTAAACACCTTCTGCCATTAAATGCAAATGGCCGCTTGTCAGAAATCCAAAGTCTCTCGGACCTGGCCACTTCATCTTCACTATTACACGATGGCCTGACCATATACCGTATGTTCCATTTGGTATAATTGTGAGGCTGTATAATGTGGTCAAATGATGATGGATATATCGGGTCTAGGCTGCACTTACTGATTCTCATTCAAGTTTCCTCATGTTTATTTATTTATTTGCAATTTAACATCAATAAGGTTTGGGCTTTCAAAATTTAATGCAGAAATCCATAATCGTTTCAGCCACTTCAATATATAATATAAAATTGCACGGCACCTTGTTTTTTCTGAAAAAAAAAAAAAAAAAAAAAAGATACAATGCAGTACAATATGCGCTTTTAAAACTGCTGGGTCCAAATCAACCTCAATTGGGTGAATAGCTAGCCCCGCGCTGGGTTCAAAAGAGACTGAGCCATTGATGGGTTATTTATACCCAGCACTTTGGCTTGAGGGTTTGATCCGGCCCGTCGGCTCACAATTTTGAAGGAGGAGTAAAAAAAAAAAAAAAAAAACAAAAAAAAAACCATTAGATTCCAGCTGCGGCCTCCCTGAGTGGAGTTTGCATGTTCTCCCCATGCCTGTGTGGTTTTTCTCCGGGTACTCCGGTTTCCTCCCACATTCCAAAAACATGCATGGCAGGCTGATTGAACACTCTAAATTGTCCCGAGGTGTGAGTGTGAGGGCGGATGGTTGTTCGTCTCTGTGTGCCCTGCGATTGGCTGGCAGCCGGTTCAGGGTCTCCCCCGCCTACTGCTCGAAGACAGCTGGGATAGGCCGCAGTGCGCCCCGCGACCCTTGTGAAGATAAAACAGATCAAAAAATGGATGGATGATAAAAAAAACAAAAACACAGATGCTGATGAATTAAGGTTGCCAAGAATTGGGCTGCCACGTTATCAATAAAGCCGTGCGTGTGTGTGATTAATCCTTTTTGCAGTATAAAACATGCCAGCATGGTGAAATTTTGGGTCTGCCTCACAATGAGCAGATCTGGTTTCGATTCTTCATTGGAGCATCTTTGTGGGGAGTTCTAGGTTCTTCCCACATCCCAAAACATACTTAACTAAAGACTTTAAATTGACCAGAGGTGTGAACGTGAGTGTGAATGGTTGTTTGTCAATATGTGCGATCTACTGGTGACCAGTCGAGAGTGGACCCCAACTCTTGCCCGAAGCCAGCTCCGATTACCTGCAAAAGGATTTAAAAAAAACGGATGAATGAATATACAGCACATAAGTGGATATGATATGAATTCTATAAGTGACAGCGTGACACCACTTCAGCAAACCCTTACCACGGATCGCGGTTTCTATACATCAGGCAGTTACCTGAGTGACAGCCAAACTCAACAGTGCATGGTCACTCCACTCGCTAAAAATCTACCTCTGATGTTCCATTGTTGCGCCTCACAAAGCCGTGGGAAATGTAAGTCTGGATTGTACCTGTGTCCTATTGCCTTGGATTTTCATTAAAAAGCCCGATGCTGCAGCTGAGGCCCCCGTCGCTCTACAATGTGAGGAACGACTGTGCAAGGGCAAACATATGTGACCCACTTCTTCCCATCAAATAAAGTATGCAGCTTTCAGCAACAGGTTTGAATCTAAATTGATGTTTAAATCCAGACATGTTTGCCCATGTGGCTCCGCGCCCAATTCACGGAAGATGCGTCTTTAATGCAGCTGCCTC